TGGGAAACATAAAGTGTTGCGTGTCATCCTGTTGCTCATTTATATTCTTTATGAGCATGTCAAGTTTTTCACTGTGGAGGTAACACAATGCACCTAGCTAAGCATAACCTTTATGCATTCATCCCCCAAGTCCAGATTGGATTTCATGGCTGACTATGCTGTACAGGGTTAAAAAGAGAAAGAAATTTTTCTTTGCAATAATCTAAAAGAGCATGAATCCACCCAGTGGCTTTTCAATTTCTGCTACTCAGGTTGTACTTGGAATTAGGTGTTAGTACAAGTCACCCACAAAAGGATCTAAAAATAGGGCTACCAACATAATTTTTGGTTATAAAATGAATCCTCCAGGCAGAAGAAAAATTAAATGGAAAGGGAAAATTTTATTTTTGAACTTCAGGAGAATTTGACTGATTCTCAGGAACAATGAGGAGATCTATCATCAATGGCTAAAGCCAGATTTAACTTAATTTCTGAAAACATCTGTCATGAGAGAGACTGTATGCCTGTTTTCTTTTAAATTTCAAGGAGGGAACTCCAGAGTTTTAAGTTTACTCACAGAACTGTCACATGATGAAATTCTTTCTGAAGTACCCTCAAAGACAGAGCATGTATTTCTAATTGTAGATAGGCAATCTTGATTTATTTTATTCTTCTTAGTTTGCACCTTAATTTAACAATGTAATGGCTTTGGGTTGCATTTTAGCTGATATCCAAGAAAAAAAATTTGGTGAGTATATTGTCATCATGAGATTATACAAAAAAAAAAAAAACCTACTGCATTAACTATATTTTAATATGATGACTTACAGCTCAGTTGATAATAGTGTAACTTTCAATGTATAGACCAAAGAGCTTGAATCTTTTTTTATCCCTAACCAAAGATGACAGTTTCCTACCAAGGGCTTATGTGCTTTAAACAACCACACGGAGACCAAGCATACAAGTGTTTGGGGAAACTGAGTCTGCTAATCACAGGAAAGACAGAGTCAAAGTTGGAGCTCCACTAATATCCAGCCTTTGCTGGAATTTATCTACCTAACTTTGGGAAATATCTGTAGCCTATCTGAGCACCTTGTGTTGTTCATAGGACAACTGATTTTTTTTTCAGAGATTTGCTTATTCCATAGAAAACTTAGGGAGATACAAAAAAACATGTGCCATTAATGGCCAAAACTTAGTAAAAAAATGTTTGGTGATCAAACTTGAAGAGAATCCTATTTTTTAGCAGCTATAAATCAGACTACAAGGTAAATTCTAGTAGAGAGTGCTTACTGATATAAAATATTCAATTACCTCCCCACTGAGATATTCAACGGAGTCATTATTTACTTCAACAATTTAATTGCAAAGGGATAAACAGATGTTTGTTATTTTTACAAGCACTGTGTTTAGACACTTCTGTTCTATCGGTCTATAAAAGTCACTACAGGGTATTAGTTCTGAGGTTTACCCCCCCCCCGACCTAGAATTCCTGTTAATGAAAATCAGTGAAGGTAGGGCAAATTAGACATCATGTCAGGAAATGCTGACATTTGAAGGCAGACTTTCATAACTTGAAGTAGCCTCTATCTTTGCTGTTACTAGGCACATTCATTGTAACTGAGCTTTTTGTAGGCTTAGTGCATTAGAAATGCTTCCCTTTTGCTCATGAAAAGTCTGGCTTGTTGAAAATTTAGAAGACCTTTACAGCTTCTGTTTTCATTGTCATGATCATGATCAGTATAAAAATTCATTTATATGGGGTGGGAGTGTCACAGAAATAGAAACAGGATTATTTGGTGAAAACTGGCATAACTCTGATAAGTTTATTTGAGAACAAAAAAAAAAAAAAGAGAGAGAGAAAGAAAGGAGAAAGGAAGAGGAAGGAAGGTGAGAAGAAGGAGGAATGGAGGAAGGGATGAAGGAGGGAGGAAGAAAAGAAAGAGGAGCGAAAGAATTAATTACTTCTATATGCTGTCCCTTTATGGCTCTTGTGTTGTTACTCCAACATGGGCAATAATAGCAATATATTAAGTAAGATGTTGTAAGATGTGATTAAATATTAAAGTATTAAGTTTTTGAGCATTTCCATTTAATAAAGTTCTCTGTCTTGCCTGCACTGGAATTAGGCTTTGAAAACGTCTAGCCATTTAGATAATTTTAAGTAAAATTTCTTACTAATTTATAAGAAATTATTTATTGGGAAAGTGCTGTCTAACAAAGATCTTCCATATTCTAAGCAAGGTTATTCAGCTGAGCTACATCCTAGCCCTGTAAGTCATTTGAATTACTATCAAACTGCAAGAATTTTTTTTTTTTTTTTTTTTTTTTTTTTTGGCCTGAAGATGAGGGTATGATCAAGTTTCACACCACACCACACCACACACACACACACACACACACACACACACACACACACAATAATGTCTTATTTTGTTCGTGAGGAGGCACAGCTCAGATGGAAGCCATACATACTTTTCATCCTTAGAGTTGGGCTCCAGTAGATCTCTGGGAAAAATCTCCAGATCTCTGATCTCCAGGTCCCAACAGAAGCTGTTGATTCCCCTTTGAACTCAAGGGCTGACACTGTCTGCTTCTCCTCATTCACTCAGCCTAACATTCTTCTCTCCATTCATCCCATTGCCAAGTTGTTTTTCTGAAGGGAGAAATGCTTACACTTTTTCCCAAGTGTGTGAACATGTTCTTTTTCCCTCCTGTCCTGTTCTCATTTGGGTCCTTAAGACAGTAAATCATCTTCCCCCAAACTCAAAATACCACACATTTATCTTGGACTTTAAAAGGGAGTTTATGTTTCTTACATTACAAATTGTTATCAATGTAAGTTTCTTGTCATATTGACTTGAAGGGAAAGGGTGGTGGGGTTGAACCTAGGATTTCTAGGTAAAACTCAACCACCGAGCCTAATTTAAAAACACATGAATGAGACTGATAGTGTTTATGTTTATTATGAATTGCTTAGAATTTTTTCGATCTTGAGACCCTGCTCTAATGTCCCTGAATACCAATCCTCTCCTGTTTTCTTTCTTTTCTTCTAGCTCTACACATGTGCTCCAGTGAAATTCTAGTGGAATCTCTCCTTGTGTGTATTATGAGACTTTAATTCACCTTCTGTTAGTCAAATCAGATGCCTCTTCACACCTATTGTGCCCCAGACACTTCACACTGTGGGCAATGTCTCAATTATTTATTCTCAATTAATTATTGATTGGCGTGTCATTCTATCCAAACAGACCATCCAGTTCTACAGCCCTAGGGGCAAAAGCCCATATGTTTGCATTCCCAGCATGCAAAAAGAATCATAAGCAGTTGCTAAGTGACCTGATCTTATGTTAAAAGGTAGCTGTCAGCTTTCCTTAGAAATGACAATCTGATGATCTGGAATTTGTCTTCCATGTTAAACCCATAGGATCTGACCATCATGCTGCCTACATTACTAATTCTTGTGGGGGCTTGGGCAATATTGCAAGCTGACTTACTTTCTGACAGAAGGAGTAAGGACCTTCTATCTAATAATGTTTGCTTTGTTAAAGTATATTATAAAAAAGGTAATGGGATTTTCTCTGAAACAAATATTCAATTGGGACATTGTTACAAAACAGTATAAACTCTTGAGAGTTAAGAAAGCGGTGTGGGCAGAAATGTAAATCATATGCTTCAGTAGGAAATTCAATTCTGAAAGTATATATGTGCAACATGGAAGAAAGCAGCCTCTGGAGGCCACATTTAGAACCCTCACCTCGACTGGGAATTTCATGAAAGGCCTCACAAGAAGCAGAACAAACTTCTACCATTTTCTTTTCATTTTTCCCCTGAAACTTGTTGATCTAAGGGTTTGTATGATGATGGAGAAAACTGTCTGATGGCACCAGCCCAGCTCTGTTTAGAACTCTCTATAAAGGCCATATTCTATCTTGGTACTGCCCTGAACATAGCCACTGTCTACATAATCACCAAGCTGCACAACAGCTGCACAGTGGAGCTGGAGCAATGACCTTTGGGGTTTAGCTACATAATTTAGATTTGAAAAGCCATGGTAGCCAGTGACTGCTGGAATAAAGGTGACCTACATCGACAGTCCTGGAAACTCTTGCATGTCAGACACAGGTGCAGGGTCATGAAGGGCTTGTAAGGTCAATGGAAAACACTGATAATTTAGTAAATGAATAAATTTAAAATTATGTGTTTCACAATGTATAGTGCTTCCCTTGTTTGGGTGAGAAAATTTTTAGACATTGTTTAAACATACGCCCAGAAAAACATAACAAAATAAGATGTGAATTTATTTTTTTTACTTTCTTCTTATTGCTCGTTGTGTTTTATAGCATTTCTACAATAAATACTGAGTCCTTAATGAAGTGAAATATTTTATTTTGAAGGCAAATCCTTTTTTCTATTCAAATACTTTAGTCTATGGCTCATAATGAGAAATAAATACACTTTACATTGTGAATCATTGATCTTACAAATAAGAAGGTACTTTTATGCAGCAGAAACTAGACGTCCATGAGACAACTGTTTCAGGTCCAATATATGCCCCCCCCCCAGCTCCTCTGGTGTGCTCTATTTATCTTCCATACTACTGTGAAAATGAAAGAAAGGGAATTTCAACTCCAGAAATTGTTATCATATCCCATTCACTGGTTGTGGGGCTTATTATGAAAACTACAGCTTTAATGAGTAACAATATGGTAGATTATTCATACTCAATAAAACCATGTTACAGTTACAGGTAATAACTGGATAATGAACTAACAATAATTTTAAAGAAACTTTTGCCAAATTACTTCTGTATCATATATTCTAATAAGCCACAGCAAATCAGTATGTTATTTAATAAAATAATTAAAATATTTTAAAGACTGGGAATGTAGCTCAGTGATAAAATACCTGTCTCACACTCACTGGCCCCGAGTTTCACCCCCAGCACCATATATAAAAGTGGTCTTTATGGACAATTGAACATTGTATCATTTTTTTTTTTTTGAATCCTTAGTTTTACTTCTACCACCTGTCAATTTTACCATTAAAGCCACCGGATTAGCTCAAGTTCTTTTACACTGGGACCCAAATCCTGACCAAGAGCAAAGGAATGTTGATCTACAGTATCATGTGAAAATAAATGTTCCACAAAAAGATGAAGTAAGTTCTGGCTCTGATGACAATCACTACTAAAGTGAATATTCTTTTTTAAACTGCATTTTCTTCATGAAGTGAAATTCTTGATAAAGTACAGCCAATTACTAAAAATCTTCTTGTGTTACCAGTAAGATTTGTAAAGTGAATAGAACTCATGCATATTATTCAAAATTAAACAGTAGCATAGAAGTCTTTATCTCAAGGAAAATCCCCCCTGTCTCTCTCTGTCTCCCTCGTGTGTGTGTGTGTGTGTGTGTGAGAGAGAGAGAGAGAGAGAGAGAGAGAGAGAGGGAGGGAGAGAGAGAGACACAGAGAGGGGGGATGCACATGTGTGTGTTATGAACTTTTGACTGTGTGTCTGTGTCTATGTTCATGTGGGTGTATATGTAGGGGTATGACACTTTGAGTAATCCCTTTCCAAAACCATTTGTTTTAGAGAAATCTCTCACTGAATTGCAAGCTTATCAATATGACTAGGCATCAGGGATCCACCTACCTCTGCCCTACCCCTAGAGTTGGGGTTACAGCTGCATGCTGTCATGTGCCTTGAATTTTACATGTATTTGGGGACCCAAACTCAAGTTGTCGTATTCACACAACAGTCACTTTATTAATTGAGTCATCTTCCAAGACTAATTACCAGCGTTTAAAGTGTAATGCATTTGATAGTACTGTTTATATATCTTCTAAAATGTCAATAAAACTAGAAGAAAGTGGTGATCAAAATGGTAAAAGGAAAAGGTACAGTATAGGGTCAGAAAATCCAAGGTGAAGGCCAAGGTCATTCACTACCTATGTTTATATCCTAAGGTCTTGAGTTATTTTCAGATTTATAATGAAGATATGCTAACACATCTGTTGTGTAACACATTTGTAGTAAGGTGAAAGAAAAGGATATGTGCTTTGTATTAAGAATTTGGGAGTAAACATGAGATTTTAAAAGAATTTTCTGTCAAGAAGTGCTCCTAGAGAGGAGACTGGCATGAAAGATGAGAATCAAAGGGGACTTGAGATTTAATTACAATATGGTTTTTGTTCTGAAAGAGGAATATATTCATGTGTCATTGAGAAAGTCTATTAATATTACAATGCCTCTTTTCTAAGAAAATTACTTCATTTTTACTTATTATCATTTTCAAAGTGGAGTAAAAGGCCTATTTGATTAATGTTATTTTCTACTATATGCTATGACTAGAGTGTTTTATTTTAGTATAATACCAGGAGGGCTGAAAGCAAATATGTGGCCCCCCTTCTAATGGCTTTGGAGCTAATGTGAGGAGCATCTTATGGAGAAGCAACTCTTTCCTGGCCAGCAGTTGGGTTTCTGCTGAACTCAAAGCTTCACCAGGTAAAAGGAGACATGGGGCATCTAAATTTCATATTCTGCCCTTCTGAAAATGGGAAGAAAACCTCTTTTCTCTAGCCCAGCACCACACCTTCCAAACGCCTTCCTAGCACCCCCATTCTAACCACAGCTCTCAGGCAATCCAGGTCCACCTGTTTCACCTCTGCAAGCACACCCCTGTATCTACACTGGTTTCCTGTGGAAGCTGGACTTCCTGGTATACATAAACAGAGATAGCTCTGATTGAACATTTTAACACAGAAATACACAAATACAAGAGGGGAAAAAAGGGGGTAGGCCATTGGATCCTAGGATATGCAACTTCCTAAATCATATACATCTTAACTCCATATCTGTGAACATTTTGCAAGTCTTTCTCCAATCCACATCATTGGATAAGAAGATCCTGCCTCCTGTGTTGTTAGTCAGCTTTCTTTTTACTATAACAAATATGTAAGATAATAGACTTATTTCGTTTCTGGTTTGGGTGGGGATTTCCACCCATGACCTGTCAGGCCTATTTTTAGTTCATGTAACAACACAGCATATCACTCCAGAAGCAGGTGGTAGCGGTCTATGGTCAGGGAGGCAAGGGTATAACTATCATCCCCTTTAAAGACGTCTCCCCAAAGACCTCCCCAGAGGCCTCAACTCAGAAAGGGCTCTCCACTTCCCAACTACACCATGGGCTGCAGAACAAAGTCTTTATCAAACAGAAACCTCTGAACTGTGTTGGTAACAACACAAGATGCTTGCATTTACTCATAATTTTCCAGTGAGTTACCAACAGACTTGCCCCCGTAAGGGAAGGTACTTTGGGGAATAGAGATGAACATAAATATGGGGCATTGTGCACTTTGCATTTAGCCATTATCTTACCTCTACTGAATAACAGAGCTTCCTCTATGTGATATTCCTTTCAGTGTTAAGTTTCTAAATTCTAATTACTCCCCTAGTACCCCCGGCACATGTTCACACTAATCAAGTTGTATGTATGCCACTAACCAAGTGAAAATTCATACTGAATTATTTCTTGAGTTGGAACTGGGAAAGCGCTGACTTATTTTGATGTGACACAGACTAGTGGATGTTTAGTGTGTGGACACATGTATACATGCATGCATGCACACAGAGAGTGAGGGGGAAGTTCTGTGTCCATGGGCTCCACTTTGATGGATTCAACTAAATGTGGATCAAGAGCCCTCTTGAAGCATTCATACTGCTCATGAGCAGATTGTTTCATGCCATTATTTTCTAAGTAGCACAGTCTAACAAGTATTTACTAATCCAAGTTAGCTAGAAAGGATTTAAACAAGACCAGAGGCTGTGTAAATTATATGCAAGATGGCATCATATAAAAGACTGGAACATTTGAAGGTTTTAGTATGGGGGAAAGTTCTGGAACAACATAAATACAGAGACATGATTTTATAGTTACATATGTGTCTAAGTCATATAACACACACATATACATATACATATACACATATACACATACACACACATATATATATATATACGTATATGTATATATATACATATATATGTGTATATATACATATACGTATATATATATACATATATATATATATATATAGCAAACTAACCAGTTTTCTGTCTCCAACTTCTATATGGCATTAGGAGGCTCTCTCCTCTGTCCATTAAAAAACACTTCATGACAGTGATAAAAGTTAATCTATAGCTGCTTTATGAAAATAAAACCCCTTCTGATGGGATTTGTCATTCTGTAAATATGTTTCTCTTATTGATTAATGAATAAAGCACTGTTGGAAAATAGGAAGGCAAGATAGGCAGGACTAGGAGACAAGGAGGATTCTAGGAAATGTAGTAGAGGACATTTAAGATGTAGAGACCTGAGGGAGAAACAGTCCAGACCCTCTCTCCAGTAAGCCAAGTCCACGTGAAAACACTTAGATTAATAGAAATGGGTTAATATTTAAGGTAGATCTAGCCAATAAGAAACATTAGTAACTGGCCACCCACTTTATATATAATACATTGTCTCTATGTGTTATTTGGGGGCTGACACGGCTGTGGGGCCAGGCTGGAGGGAGAACTGCTCATAACACCCTTCCATCATTTAGGGTTTCCTTTTTCGGGAGTTTTGTTCTTCCTGACCCTAGCCCCAAGTACACTTTTCTTTCTTTGAGGAACAACAGCAAGTTTGTTTGAGAGAGTGCTTGGGGTAGCGCAAACATAATTTGGGGAAGCCCACTGCAAGCAAACATTTGAAATCTCAGATTTTAAGTCATAGTATGTTAGGGACACTGCCAAGCTAAGGTACACTGATCTCTAATATAATGGTAAGATCTTGGGATATTTCCAAAATGCATCTCCTGAGCAGTAAACCATGTAATTCATGAGACACAGATACCAAGGAATGGCTCATATGACTCAAGAAGAAAGAAGAGTCTGGAGAGATTCCCTGACCTAACCTCATTTACAGCTAGAAAAACTAGACATTATGTGGAGAGATGCCTCCCAGTCAGCTACTGACAAATACAGCACTAGAGTGCTAAAGCTGTTGGACACATGACACAAGACTTGAACTTTCAGACATCCGTCTCAGTGACACACCCCCATATCTTCATCTAAGTAGCTGAAAAGTTCCTTTATGTCAAAACCTGAGGCTTTATAGTTCTAGTTTCATTTCTCCAGTAAATTCACCCTTTGCAAATGAGTTTCTATAAATGGATGTTTGTGGTGACTTACAATCAATAGTATCTCAAGCAAAAGCACAAATTTCATAAGCCATCATGGCAATGTTTTGTTCTTATTATTTGTGGTCCCCCTAGGGTCTTCTGGAACTTCGGTTATTAATTTAACTTGCATCACAAACACTGTCCTGAGCAGTCACACCCACTTAAGGCCGTACCAAGTGTCGCTTCGCTGCACCTGGCTTGTTGGCAAGAATGCCCCTGAGGACACACAGTATTTCCTGTACTATAGGTCAGTGTTGTTCTTTTGATACAACTATTGCCTATGAAACACAAACACGAGACTCAGTGCCCACGTGGAGTTTATTGAGCGAGGGGAGGGAAAGGGGGTGGCTGGTGGCCAACTGAATGCAGGGGAGAGGGGGTGTGTGGGGTGCTTGCTTTAAAAGGGGCACATGTGCATGTGCAACTGAGTCCCCTGCACAGCCAGGTAAACCTTGAGCAGCCAGGTAAAGCCTGATGTAGTGATGACATGGCCATGAGCGTCCTGCCCATTGTCGGGGGAGGAGTCAGCAGACTGCTGGTTCCCAACAGTCAGTATCTATTTTTACTTATGCAAATTATACATTTCCTCTTCCCTTATAAAAACTCATGGGTATTCCAATTTAGGTTTGGTGTTTGGACTGAAGAATGTCAAGAATACAGCAGAGATACACTGAACAGAAATACTGCATGCTGGTTTCCCAGGACATTTATCAACAGCAAGGGGGTTTGAGCAGCTTGCAGTGCATGTTAATGGCTCAAGCAAGCATGCTGCAATCAAGCCCTTTGATCAGTTGTTCACTCCACATGCCATTGGTAAGCCAGACTTATCCCAGCATTAGAATAATCAAATAGCACAATCTTGGCATTGGAAAGGGTCCTTTCAAATATTAAACAGCCATAAAACCAATGGAAAAAAAAAATAACTGACAGGCATCCCAACTTTACATAAATGTTTCGCTGGTTGACTTGGTAATGTAGGGGACTATCCTGGGCAAGGGAAGATGTTTAGTGGCATTCTTGGCTTCTATTCATGAGTTTTCTAACTTGTATCTTCCCTGTGGGTGCCCCCTCCGAGTTGTGACCAAATCACATATCAAAAGTATCCTTTTGAGTGTAGAGTTCTCTCTAGTTGAGAATTTATTGCACCAGGAAAAGTCATAGCAGTGCTGATCTATTCTGGCTGCTTTCATGAAATGTGTGTCCACAGGTAATAGATTGTACTCAGAACAATTATGAGCCTTTCCCTCAAGGTATGGTCCTTCTACAGTCCAAAGATACTCATTTTTGTTTTCCAACATTGTTTCTTCTTTCAAAGCTAACCCCCCAATCCTCATTGGTTCTTTGTGGCAGTTTGGACTCATCTCTAGACGTTTAAACAATATGCCCACAGTTCTCTTTTCTCCTCCACCCTCCTTTTTCCTTCCCCATTCCTTTCTTCCTCTTTTACTTAAAAAAAATGTGTATGTGTACTATATTCATATTTCTGTAGGTGTGCTTGTCCATTCAGAAGCCTGGGATAAACATCAGAATATCTTCCTCAATTGCTTTTCTGCTTTATTTTGTAGGGAGCAGAGACTTTCACTGGACTGGAACTTGCCATTTTTGCCAGACTGGCTGGCTAGCTAGATAATAAGGTCCTAGGATCCATCTATCTTTACTACCCAACCACCACCCCCAGCTCTGGGGTTACAACTGTTTTCACATGGGTTCTGGGAATCCAAATTCAGGTCCTGATGCTAGCATTGAAGTACTTTACTCCTGTAAAAACATATTTAGCTCAATCTGTTCTATTTATGCAAAGCTTCTTGTTTTGTCTGATAAAACAACACTAGCAAAAAAAAAAAAAAAAAAAAAATTCTGAAGCCATAAAGTAGAAGTGATTTACCCAGAGCTATGCCCCTGCTGAGAACTGGAGATGAGGCCCTCGGTCCATGTTCTGTCCATTAGTACAGTCTAACTTGGAAAGGTAAAGGGATGCTGGGTATACTTTTCATCGAACTGACAGGGGAAAGGTGTCAATCAACCACTTCCACTTGGAGTAGTGATTTCTGTTCTTTATATGTGTAAATCCATTCAGCAAGCCATACCAAGAACCTCATGGGAAGCGACTCACTTCCTGTGGCTTTGAGATTGGTTGATTGAGACCTAATGGTAAACCTTGAAAAAAAAAAAGCATATCTTAGAAATGGTAAGTTGGGGCTATCAGCCCTGATCCTTGGTTTTACAAAGTTGCCACTGACCTATCTCTCCTTCTATGACCTAGATCAAGTGAATCCTCCAATGAATGTCACAGTTGGAATTGAAGAAACTTCCCTTTATATCCAATGGGAGAAACCAGTTTCTGCCTTTCCAGTCCATTGCTTTAGTTATGAATTGAAAATTTACAACACAAAGAATGGTTACTTTCAGGTAATTTTTAATATCATTCCAGCATTCCATATTAGACACCATTATCTGTGGAGCATTTCAAACAGTGGGTTTCAACCTTCCTAATGCTGTAATCCTTTAATAGAGTTAATGTTGTGGTGACTTCCAACCAAAAAGTTATTTTCATTACCACCAAATAACTGCAATTTTGCTACTGTTATGAAACCTAATGGAAATACTTTTGGATATAGAGGTTTGCCAAAGTGGTTGCAACCAACAGATTGAGAGCTGCTGATTTAAAAGTTTCAGTAGTGACTGCTCTGGTGTTTTTAAATATCAACAGAGTCAATGTTGACTTACACCTGCCCAGGGTATTACAGAAATAAATCCTACAGTACTTTTATTTTGAAAGGACATAGTTTGAGTTGAAAATAATACCAAGGATAAAGTAAAACCCATTTGTAAGAGCTTTACAACAACTACAAATGATACAACTACTGGGCAAAATGGAAAGGCAAGTTTCCCAAAAGTTACAATTATCCCAAGAGCCTATAATTCTACTTCTAGGTATGCATGCAAATTATTTCAAAAAGGGTCTCAAAAAGATATTTGGACACATGTGCTCACAGCAGCATAACTCACAGTAGCCACCTGTGAAAAGCTGAAGCAGCTAAAGCAGCCCCCCCCCCATGTCCATTAACAGATGAACAGAGAGCCAGGTTTGGTGGAACACATCTGTGAATCCAGGACCCAGGAGGGGAAGCTGAGATAGGAGGAATGCCAGGGGTATAGTCTGGACTACGTAACAAGATTCCTGAAAACAAACAAGAAAAACCCAATGCCCTACAGAATATGCATAAAAACAAAATGCAGTATATATTAATATAGACAAAGGGACATTAGTCAGTCTTCGAAAGGAAATTCTGATACATGCTATGATATGAATGAACCTCAGGACAGCAAGCAAGGTGAAATAAGCAGATCACAAAGGACAAATAGCACACTATTCTGCCTTCATGAGATACCAAGGTAGTAAAACACATATAAATAGAAGATGGCACAATGGTTGCTAGGAAATGGGGAATGGAAAATGAGGAACCATTGTCTAATGGAAACCTAATGTTCAGATTGTGAATTTTTTGATCATTGGGTGATGGAAATTGAATAGAGAGGCTCATGCATGCAGAACATGAGACACATCCCCAACCAGAAACTCCAGACATGTAAGATGAAAATGTGTTGTAGTCAGGTTGCACAACAGCATGGCTATTCAACATTCCTGGCCTGCATGCTTGACAATGGTGCAGGGGCATATCTTAACACCCATGGAGTTTTCTTATGTTGTTTTAAACCTTGTCCACAATAACTGTTGCATAATTATGGTTCCCATTTTATTGGTAATTAGGCCACTCCCCTGGAAAAAGAAAATGAATAATATCTCAGAGTCAAAAAGCTAAAGAAGAAATATAGAAGTCATGATTGTTGCACATAAAATAAATGAGGAGCTGTGAGATGGCTCAGTGGTAAAGGCCCTTGCCATTAAGCATGCTTTCCTGCATTGAATTCCTAGAGCCCACAAGGTGGATGGAGAGAAGAGACAGCGTCAAGTTGTTCTCTTGCCCCATACCCACGCTGTGGTATGCATGTACACACACAAACAAATAAATGTAAAAATAATTAACAGGAACACAGTAAACACCATCTATTTAAATTTAACCAATATCTACAATTAGTTTCTTGGGGTAACGCATAAAGAGAAATAAGGCCTTTGTTTTTTGGTCTGAAATAAATTTATTAGTATGTCTTCTTAATTTTTAAATTATGTGCCATATCATGGGGCACACTGCTTTCAAATGATCGCCAAGAACGTAACATGGGGCTGGAGAGATGGCTTGGTGGTTAAGAAAAGCACTGACTGCACTTCCAGTGGACCCAGATTCAAATCCCAGCACCCATGTGTCAGTTTACAACTGTCTGTAATTCCAGTTCCAGATGACCTGGTGCCCTTCCACAGGCATACATACAGGCAACACACCAATACAATAAAAATAAATAAAGTGAAAAGTAAATGGACATATCAAATGAGTTCTGCTCTGGCAAATGTATCAGAGGCTCCCCACCATAGGGAAGATCAACAGAGTATAGAAGGGAGAAGAGGAAAATAGCCTTGTTGGCCTCCACAACAAGGAGGTGAATGCAACTTAGGGGTGGTGGTGGGGTATCAGACAGAAACTTGCCTACTGAGGAAAAGAGAGTAGTTCTTAAAATACATTAAAAAGGATCAACTAGAAAAACAAAACAAACACAGCCAAAGATGTGCAAAATGCAAGCCAACTGATCATGGGCTTGGATGTCACAGCAATGTCCAACGGCTCTCCATTTCCAAACTGCTTGCACTGTCTGCACTGATCTTATCATAGAGCAGCAAATGGCACTTCCTGACCTGTACCAGTCCACAACCACACTGTGTCTGCTAGGGGTGTGCGAGGAAAAGGAATAACACCGCGGCTAGAGAGTGCAAGCTTCCTTCAGCCAAGTGGTAGTGAGTGAGCTGGCCCAACACAAGGCTAGCACTAGATTTGTAACTCTACCGTGAGGTTTTTTTTAAAAGCCAAAGAGAATCTACTTTAAAACTACCGCCATGGACAATGAGCGTTGTCAAAGAATCTTACAGGATGGAGAAAAGTAGCATTTACAGGGTAGAAATGTCATCTTGGCAGCAGTGTGAAAGGTGGATGTGAGGGTGCCAAGTGAGTACAGGGATATTAGCTAATAAGACCACCCAGGCAATAGAGCAGAGAGCCGACACAGGCTGTGGTCATTGGACAGGGCTGAACAGGCACAAACTACATGCTATTTAATACTATGACTTACCAATGTGGAAGGACAAGGTAACAGAGATTATGTATGCTGTTGAAGGTGACTCAATTTTTCCATATGACATTATTTTGTCTACACAGCTTCACGTAGCCCTTCAGCTGACCATTTTATATGTTAGTTACAAGATCACTTTCTCCTCAGGGTAACTGCCGAGACCTCATACTGGAACAGTGTAGAATAAACTCATGACTATGCCCTGTTGATTTTTAGATTACTTGCTAAACAATGAGTCACATTATGTACACATGACTCCTCAAACTGGTTTTCCACATAAATAATATGGCTAGGCACTATTATAATGTTAATTTTTCCCATTTAGATGGAAAAACTGGCCACCAACAAATTCATCTCAAAAATTGATGGGGTTTCTACATATTCCATTCAAGTAAGAGCAGCTGTGAGCTCATCTTGCAGAGTATCTGGGAGCTGGGGCGAGTGGAGTCAACCTATTTATGTGGGTGAGTCCCTGATGTGTATGTAAAAGCAGATAGTCCTGGAAAGTGCATGTTCACTCAGGTCTTGTAGTAGCTTATTCTTTACTCTGCCTCATCTTTCATCCATCTTCTTTGTCTTTAACTAGACATGTGTGTTCTAGGAAGCCTAGCTGTCCCATTGTCTCCCTAGCACAAGTCCTTCCCAGGCCTTCCATCCATATTGTATATATGCACATGAGCTGTATGTGCATGGGTGTAGATACACAGGCATTCGCACTGTGTGTGTTCATGGGGGACAAAGGAAGACATCGAAATTCTGCTCTGTCATTCTTTACCTTGTTCCCTTGAGACAGAGTCTCTTGTTGAACCTGGAGCTAGTCTGGTTTGCAGTAAGCCCCAGAAGTTCTCACACCTCTGCCCTCAACAGGTCCCTATGAAACCATGCCCAGCTTTCATATGGGTGTTGGGGATTTGAACTCAGTCCTTACACTTGCACAGCAAGCTCTCATACTTCCTGAGGCATCTCGCCAGCTCCTATCTAATTATTTAGAGTACACATTTTATGTTCAGATAATTGCAGGTATATAAGCTGTGGAAAGAAACAGAGATCCAATCTTTCTTTGACCTAGTTTCTCCCAGTGCCAACATCTTGCAAAATCTACAGTTTAATTTTAACACTAAAAAATTGGCATTGATGGCACACCATCTTTCTCAGCCTATGAATTTAATGTGTAATTATTGTTTATGTTTGGTCTTATGCAGTGTTAGCATTCATGTTACAGCTCAGTCAAGATGCCAAGTTGTGTATCATAAGATTGTTCCTTTTGATCTTTTGAAACACATCCATCCTCTTTGCTCCTCATCTCTAGGCCCAAAGGTCCCCATCAGCATAATTTTGCCATGCTTATGTGTGAATTTATTTGTTTATTTCCTTTTTAAAAGATTTTAAAATTAAATAATATTAGGGTCTATGAAACCTGGATCCATCCCTGAACCATTAGCCAACAGATAGTAAGTATCTCTAATAATTTGAGCATCTCCCGGGCATGTGAGCTGTTTTGCACCTATTTTTATTTGTGATCAAATTGACTGGTTTATTTGGCAAATTAAATAAGTACCATACATGACAAGAAACAGGGAATGGGTAGCAACCATGGATGAAGGGCGTATTTATTGGATAAAGGAAATGATTGGTATTATACATAGCTTTTTTTTTTTTTTTTTTTTTTGCTAAACACCATCCGAGATGACTTTTATATATTCTCTTAGTTAAATCTATCAAGAAATCCATTCTTTAAAGATGTATATTTGGAACATTTGGGTGCTTTATTTATCTCTGTAAGCATCTGAGATGGGGTGAACCTAGGTTAATGTATTCTAGAGCCCAAGCTCTTAACACTCTGTCATGGTGTGATAGGACCCTACGTGCTGCAAGATGCTTATCAAATTAGACTGGCATAGGGGACTTTGTGGTTATAGCTGGTTACATTACTTCTTACAAGACCAAGAACAATTTGGACAGCATACTTAAGGAGAAATTTATTTCAGGCATATGCTAAAGTTTCTACTCAAGTAGTTCATTCACTTGCGCTACAGGGCAGGTCCTCCGGAAATTCTTGGGCAGCGAACCATTAGCATGTGTAGTTATGAGTCAGAGCTGATGTTATTAGGTACATTTCCAGGGGAAGGAGGATTGCTGGAAGGACTCAAAGGTAGAGCACTGATCTGTGTCTGCGAGGAGGCTGAGAAAACTGCTCTGAACTCCTGTTCAGTGCCGGACAGCACTGGTGTGTGTGTGTGTGTGTGTGTGTGTGTGTGTGTGTGTGTGTGTGTGTGTGTGTGTTAACACATGAGTGTTAAGAGCACCATGAGCTACCGGGGAGAGGAACTGAAGAGGAGTATAAGGAACTGAAAAGTAGACAGACTCACCTACCTCATAATTTTGCTGGGGTGGATCTTCCTCTCCCTCTCTTTCTCCCCAGCTGAACTAAACTGACCTGGTACACACAGGACGTCTCTCAAAAACACTTTGTTTGGCAGATAAAACTCACTCTGTGCCTCAAGAGAAAAGCAAGACTCATTAGTCTTGTCACATCCTGTGACAGAAGCTTCATTTATTTGTATTCCAGGCTTCCTATTACGGGTGTTTTATGTGTGTTTCTCAGGTACACAACCCTCACTGGTCTGAAACTGGAGATGTTTCTCATTGTTGTCTCTATCTGCAACCTGAACAAATGTGGGGGGTAAATGAATATGGATCAGAAAACTCAGATGACTATAGTGGAGACCAAGCTCCAGAATCCTGGCTAAGAAGTCGGTGGTGTTTGCTGAGTGCTTGAGTCTTGAAGTTATAGCTGATGTTGACTTTTGACACTGTAGAACTTAAGGGGTGAGGAAGCAGCAGTAGGCAAAGTCAGAACCGGGTTTTAGCCATGGCTCTGTCTGTGTAGTTCAGTGGTCCAAGTTAGAGATAGCTAAGTATTCAGAGAACACAGTACAGTGCTGAGAGGATTCTGAGAATAAACTCAAGCTTTAAGAGGAGTCATCATCTGCCACCACATGGGGGACTGAGTGAAGAAGGGACATGCTACTCTGGGTTTTCCTACTCTGACCTCATTCCTAACCCCTAGCCTTTCTGGGCCTCAGTTCCCTCACTCATAGATGTCAGGTACTTCATTCCCTGGCTGCTTCTAACTGCCATTCTTGTGGCTCCACTCTCTAACATCTGTCACGAGAGGACTGGGAGTAAGATTGTGATCCACCTCAAGAGTTTGTTTTAACTTATTCTTCATTTTCCACTCTCCCGTTCTCTTACCATTTCCAGAATAACTGCTTCCTGGCTTGGGTCTGGCCTCATTATATTTGCCCCCCACGGGCACCTCATTACCATTTGCTACTGCAAATCCTATTTCATTGTGCTACCCATTTTGTGAAGACGAGTTGATTAATGTTAGCAGCTTACCTTATAAATCCATCCTTTCTGGAATTTACTCCCCTGCTCAGTGTAGGATCATTAGTGAATTTAATCAATGCAGACTCTCCGTTTTCATCAAGATGATTAATAAACATAATGGAAGCCCAAGCCCCTCGGGAACATATTGCATGGCTCTTCCTTCCCCCTGGAGGATGCAGTAATAATTATGCTCAGCTTGCAGTCTCCCAGGCTGCTATGTTCATTTCCTTCAGACACTCTTCCATCCCTCCTTCCTTGCCGTACAAACAGCCCCTGGGAGCCTGCCTGGATTTTCACTACAGCCCCAACTGAAACATCACCCTGTATCTTTGATATTATATTCACCCCATTATTTTAATTAAGAGAAGGAAATGGAAGCCTAAACATATTAAATGACTCAGTCATTGTCAAATAGCCAAGATGTGATTATTAATGTATAATTTCCCCCCAAATAAGTCCATATGAACCAACTAGCAAATTAAAATAATTTACCTAAGTAACCCATTACAGCAGCCCAAGGTTATTTCATGAAGAACGAGACACAGATGAAGCGGGTTGGGATTGATGATGTAGAGAGCTGAGCTTGTGGGAGGTGGCTTCCACTCTAGTTGACATGTCCTTGGGTCAGTCCAATAAGAACAGGGGATATAGATGCAGTGAGCAGTATAGCCAGCAAAGAGCTCTCTCTGTCTGCTTGAGATTTGCCTTGTATTGCCTTGGGATTTTCAGAGCATCGATTTTCTTCTTCCTTCCTTCCTTCCTTCCTTCCTTCCCTTCCTTCCTTCCTTTCTTCCTTTCTTTATAAATAAACAATAGTAGCAGTTTTGTTTATCAATACTCATATCAACTGCTCTCCATCAGCTGGCTTCTGCTTTAAGAGCTGAACTTCCCAATTTTACGGTCTTTCTCCTCAAACCTGAAGTTCCGGGTTCTTCTGTTCTGTTGTTATCTCTGCCATCTCATGTTTACTGAAAAATGTTTGTGTCCTGGACCCTGGCCTCTGAAGTGTTCTGTTTTTTCATGTCTTCTCTCCTCCACTTCAAATACTGAGTGTGGAGCAAGCAGTTTTGGAAGTAAATGGTCCCAGGGTGCATCCTGCCCCATGGCAATGAAGAGTGTTGGCTACATTCATGTGTAGCTGTGCCGTTGGTTAGGAGCTGACCTGTTTCTTGGTAAGAGGTTAGGCTGACAATCACTGGACTCACCCTCATGTGAATAATGAGGTTTTCTCCCACCCTTCCTGAAGGCTGGGTCTGCCACTCTGGACCTGGTATTATTAGGAATCCATGAAAACTTTTTCTTTCAGAAAGTTTTCTTTGGGGTTTAAGATGGGTGTACTTAGGGGGATCAGAACAAGACTCAATCACCAGAGGTTTCACATGGCTCAGTCAGCGGTCACTGTTTGGTTGCTGCTGCTACTGGACAAATCCCTCAGCAATAAAGACATGGTACTCATAGGAGGTCCCGACCTTCACTTTCCTGCTATGGTGTGAGCCAGGGTGTGAATGTGCAGGGACATGTGTGGTGACCATACTGTCAGAGCTAAACAAAAGCCAACATAGCACGTAGGAGTGTGTGCTGGACAGAGGAAAGCTGTTTTCTTTGACTTGGTGTTCATGAGAGATATTTGAAGCAATTTACCTCTACCTGGAGCTTATGAGCTCCAAAATCTGGGAGGAGATGGGGTTATTAGATCGCTGAGAGTATTTCCTTCATGCTCTGTGGCCTGTCAAAGAACGTCAAGGCCCAGTTCTTCACCTTCTTCTCCTGTACCTGTGGGTTTCTCCTATGCCCTGCTTCATCTGCCTGTCTGTTTGCCATTCTCTGTCTCTCTCTCTCTCTGTCTTCTAGTCCTCTCTTTTTAAGTTCTCACTCTGTGGTGAGACACAGTACAAACCAGGAAAGGAAAGAAGAAAGGGAAACAGGTGAAGGGGAAAGAGCCAGCTTCACTTGCTCTAGGCTTCCAAAAGACTTATGCCATGTCAAATATTCATGAGGTAAGAGAAGGAGGCTCTGTGTCAGCACAGAGGGGGGAAATGCTTGGAAAGAAAAATAGCTAGCCCAGCTGCAA